CTCGGCAGTGACACCCCTTGAGCGCGGCGGGCCGGGCTGGGCGCGGGTCCTTCCTCTGCCGCCCGGGCGTCAGTCCATCGCCCGCCAGCCGGTGCTGCTCGCGTCCGCCTCTCCCGGCCGCGACGCCTCAGCGCAGCCTCTGGCCGACTGCGGTTGTCAGGCGCGGCTGGGACGGAGCTCCGCCAGCAGCTGCAGCCAATCGCCGCGCTTCTGAGGTGCCTTAGGACCCCCGGCGCGCGGGGCGGCCAGGCAGGTGCCTGCACGGAAGGGGAGTCGGCTGTGGGCTGGGCGCCCTGCGGGCGGGGTGGGGAGCCCGCTCGTCCGAGCAGTCGCGGGAGCGGCGCGGAGCCGGGCGCGGCGCGGGCGCGGGCTGCTGACCCTGCGTCCCAAAATAGCGCGGAGCGCGTTATCGCTTCCTAATAGAGCAGTCGTCTGCGCGTTAGGGTTGACGCTTTAATACTCCTCCCGGATAATTTATTAATAAAGGCTAATGAGATAAATCCCTCCTCTCCTTGCCTTGCCTTTCTAAACTCCACTTCCTCCCTGAAAACTCCAATAGGTTCTTCGCCTGTCCCTTTCCTGATTTCTCGATTTGTGATGCTGATCTGCTTTGAAGCAGTTTTGTTACTTCACATTTAGCGCGTTCTCTGCTTTTGTTTACCCCTTTTGATTGTAAGCACTTTTATTACCACCCCATAGACTCAATAAGAGTCCACAGATACACGTGATGCTCAACCGAGCTGAATTAAACAGGGTATAATTTTATATGGAGCTACAGAACAACACAGAGGTATAAAGCTGGAAGAACCTCGTCCTCACAAAGGCCAGAGTGAACTAAGCCTCACTAAAGTGGAAAAATGGGGTAAAAGAGATTAGTAAAGAAAATAATCAAAAACATTTTGGGGAAGAAAGAATTTTGTCCAAGACAAAAGAAACCATTGCTTGAGGAAAAGCTTCTAAGAAAAAAAAAATTTTTTTTTTACATTTCTGGGAAAACACCAAAAACCGAACAGCAAAACAATTGCCTAGTTTGATTAAATCCTGGAAGAAAGTCTTTTTTTTTTTTTTTTTTTTTAAAGAAAGTCTTTATTATGAACCCTCTCAATAAGTGACTGACAATTTGACAATACCCAGGGCCTTGACATTAAAAAAACAAAATGCTTTACAGAACGTTTAATCTGAAAAAGTGGTCGTACAAGAGATATCCTAGAAATAGTCTTGCAATGATTTGGCCAGTATCATTCATCTAAGAAGCTACTTCTAAATTTTAACTCTCAAGCAATAGTGTAACTGGCACGGCAAACGGAACTTTATTTATTTTTATTATTTTGAGACAGGGTTTCACTATGCAGTTCAGGCTGCTTTGAACTCACTTTGTGGCCCAGGCTGTTCTCCAACTCCCAGTGATCCTCCTGCCTCAGCCTCGAGAGTGCTGGGATTATGGACATGCACCACCACACTCAGCCAAAAGGAACTTTTAAAGTTAAGATTTTTTTTCTTTTAGAAATAAGCAACTCCTCCAAACTTCCTCCTCCAAACTTCCTTCCTCACATAAACACCCTGCCCTCTCCCTACCCAGACGAAGTGATAGAGTATGCATTAGCTGACACCAAGAGTCTTGGAATCCACTCTCCTTTTCACAAGAAAAAGGACAAAGAGCTAAAGATGTCTGGAAGTGATAAAGCTAGGGTAAAGACGCACATTATCTCTGTGGCTCCCCTCCCTTCCTTACTATAAAAGACTCTTGCCCACCTGTACACAGGGAGATGGTGATTTGAGGCCAGTGGATCGCTCCATCTCCTCTGGGCTAGCTTTGAATATTTAAATTTACAATGAAATCTACAAAGATAGACTCATCAGAGATAAACATTTGAGCACTAGGAGGGGCAGAGAGCTAGAAAAATAGAAGAACTACTTAGCTTGGCATTCTGGTGTGTGCTGCACTATGGGAGGCTGAGGCAGGATGACCCCAAGTTTGAGTCCAGCCTAGGCAACCTGGGGAGACACTATTTCAAAACAAAAATCAAAAAGAGCTGGGAGTGCAACTCATTGTAAGAGCCCTGGATTCAATACACACTACCAAAAAAAAACCACCCCCACCACAAACACACACAGACACACACAGAAGAATCTGATCTGGTGCTAGATGTTGGCATTTCCTTAATTAAACCCAAAATGATGTGCTTTGCCTGTATTCTCATTTAAGTTTCACAATCTCCCTTAAGGAACCTATTAATTATTCCCATTTTAGAGATTACAGGAAAAATTTGCCCAAGATCACACAGCTGATACAGGAAAAGAATTCTAGTCATTCTGAGGTTTTGTTTGTTTGGATAGTTGGCTGGGGGTTTTGTTTGCTTTTGATAGAGTTGCACGGTGACTAGTCCAGGCTGGCCTTGAAACTCACTAAGTAAAAAAAAAAAAAAAAAAAAGAAAAGAAAAGAAAAGAAACTCACTAAGTAGCCCAGGCTGGCCTCAAATATGCAGCAATTCTCTTAGCCTCCAAACACTCAGAGTACAGGCATGCACCGCGAAGCCTGGTCATTCTAAGACTTTTTTTTTTTTCAATCCCACTCCAGTACATACTGTACTGTATCAACTGAACTAGTTTAGCTTGAAGGAAGTGAATCGTATTCTAATGAGGTAGGGAGATTTAGAAGTCTGGTTCATGTCCCCCATACTCTATGGCATATTGTTATTTGCATCCAAATTTTCAGTAAGTGATCATCAGCAATACTAGAAACAAGTAAATAACCTTTATATTTCTAGAAAAAAAGGAAGTGGAAGGAGAGAAGACAACAGGTACTGAAACATGTCTGTCATACCATATCACTTGTACGCTGATAAATGCACTGACTATGTCTTTGCTTCCTACTGTAACATCAGGTTTTACTCTACAAGCTTAATAGCTGTTAGCCAAGGTATCACCTTTCCTTCTATACTCAGCCACACTGGTTAAGATTAGATCTTCTTGTCTTTCACTCTAGTTGCTGCAATAGCAGTGAATTGTTCAGAAAGACAAGGCTTTCTTAGATGAAGGACTGTCCTTAGATCCCAAAGTACTGCCTCAATCATTAAACACTTGCTGAATGCCTACTCTGGGTCAGGAACTAGGTTGGGCATCATTTGGAAATACAGTACAGGTTCTAACAAGGCAGAATGATTCAGTGCCTGGTGACTTAAATGCCCATAGGCTAAGGTGGGCCCCCTTGAATATGATTCTCAGATCTCAGAGATTAAACCCTAAGCATCTAATAAACATGCTAAAAAATTAAAGATATAATATTTTAAAGAGCGCTTCACTTAAAGTAGGGAGGGAACTATTACAGATTAAAAGAAATGTAGACTTATGAAACGAATGTAATGAGTGACACTTTGCTTAGATCCTATTTCAAACTGCCATAGGCAGAGAAGTGGCCCTGCGAAGATGTCCATGTTCTAATTCCCAGAGCCTGTGAATATGTTACTTGATGTGGATTAAGTTAAAGACCTTGGCATGGGGAGGATATCCTGGGTCATCCAGGTGAGTCCTGTGAAGTCATAGAGAATGTGATGTGTCCCAGGTGGCTTCAGAGAAGCCAGGGATGGTGGTGCATGCCTACAATCCCAGCTACTTGGAAATCAGTTCCTTTTTTTTTGGTACCGGGAATCAGACTCAGGACCTTGCACTTGTCAGGCAGGTGCTTGTGTGCTGAGCTATATCCCCAGCCCTACTTGGGAGTCAAAAGAAGTAAAAGTATGAGGCCACCCTGGGCAATTTAGTAAAGTAAAATAAAATATTTTAAAATAAGGATGTGGCCCAGTGGTACAATGCTCCTCAGTTCAGTCCCCAGTATGAGGGATGAAGAAAGGTCCTGAATGGATATTCCTCGTAACCCTCCCAAAAAAGAAATGCAAATACAACGTTGTTAGCTTTGATGACTGAAGAAGGGGACTATAAGCCAAGAAATGAAGTCTGAAGTCTGTAGAAACTAGAAAAGAGAAGTAAACAGATTCCTTCCTAAAACACCCACAAGGAACCACAACCCTCTCAGCACTTTGATTTTACCTTAGTGCGATCAGTGTCATCAGACTTCTGATCAAGAAAACTGTTAATAAATTCATACTGTCACTTCATGAGCAGATACTCATTACAGCAGCAATGGAGCAGTAATATACAAATTCAAAAAATGATGTTGAGACCAATCAGAAAGATGTAAACAGCTGTTGAGTGTTGTGCAGAATACTGAGGAAAAAGTGTTAATTTTTGACAGGATATACTAGTTTTTGGGGCTATCTTTTTCCATTTAATGAAAGTATACACAGAAGTACTTATAGATGAAATAATACAACATCTAGGGTTTGTTTTAATATTGTTCTCAATAGATAGGCAAATCAGCAAAAAGTTGGTTATTTGTGAAAAGCAGGGGCTCATTATACTATTGTATGTATGCTTCAGGTTTTCTAGAAACTTTTATTTTTAAAAGTGAATTAACTTAGGGGAGAGCAGCTATGCACTTAAGATCAGCACTGTCCAAAAGAATTTTCTGTGATAATGGAAATGTTCTATATCAGCTATGTCCAATGTAGTAGCCAGTGCCCACAGGGTTACTGAATACTTGTAATACATCAAGTACAGTTGTGCATGGTGGCACATGCCTTTTGTCCTAGCTATGTGGAAGCCTGAGGCAGGAAGGTTGCAAGTTCGAGCCTAGTCAGCTTAGTGAGACCTTGTCTCAAAACGAAAGAAAAAAAAACAAAAAAGAGCTGGAGATCTAGCTTAGTGTTACAGCACCCCTGGGTTCAATCTCTAGTACCATAAAATATATATACAGTTTATATATCAAGTGCAACTGAGAAACTGAACTTTCAGTATTATACAATTTTAATTGTATTTAAAAAGCCATTAAGTGGCTACGACATTACAGTACAGCTCTAGATTTTGGAAAACAAATGTACTGCCTATCAGAATTCAGTTAGTGAGCTCATGAATCAAATTGGTGCACAGCTATCGTTTCCATCTTTTCAGTCTCCCTTTTCCCTTTTTCTTCCAGCAGTATCCAGCTTCCACACCCACTCCGAGCCCTTCTTCACTACAGAGATGAGGCTTGAAATCAAAGATGTAATTCACCTTATTCCTGGCCAGAGTGACTGGTCCAAGAAAAATGACCAGAGCCAGGAAGATCATAATCTTTGCTTTGAATTCCCTGAATTAGAAGTGTAGGGGCTGGGGATATAGCTCAGAGGCACAAGCGTCTGCCTGGCACACACAAGGTCCTGAGTTCAATTCCTGGTACCAAAAATAAATAAATAAATAGAAGTGTAACAACTCCCTTGATCTGGAGTTATAAAGATGGAACCCTAGAGTTATTGATCATCATATTCCTAGGTCATCCTGAAAAAGTAAAACTAACGTTAGGATAAAAGATGGAAAGACACAACCTTGAAGGAAGCTGTCCCTTCTCTCCGATTTTGCTGGGTAAACTTATCATAAATTCCTTTCCTACAATGCTTATGCTACTTTTGAGCTAAGTTCTACCGCTTACAAGCTTAAACAGTCTTTGAAGTCCTGTAGAAAACTTTCTTGGGAGTCATTAAGGAAGTAGAAGACACCCAGAATGACTGAGAGACATGACTCAAGTCAGTGTACACTAATACCCCCTACGGGTACCAATTAATGGCACCCAGTGTAACTCCCCTACATGCACGTGTATCTTAGTTACTTTTCTCTCGCTGAGACAAAATACTTGACACCCAAAATTAAGGAAGGAAAAGTTTATTTAGCTCACAGTTTGTGGAGGTGTCAGTCCATAATCAGCTGGCTCCCAGGCAGTGTGGCATGGCACAAGGGCAACAGTCCAAGGTGGCAGAAGACAGCAAAAGCAGCAAGAGCACAAGGGGTGGGTGGACAAAGCATCTTTTCTGAGGATGTTTACAAAGGACCCTGGCCCCCTGCTGAATCACTTAGTTGAACTTTTAAACTTCTCAAGTTGACACAATGAGGAACCCCTTAAGGGCAGGTCCTTTTCACCCCAGGATGTAGAACTTGTGAGTTACTTGGTTAAGCTTCTAGACTCCAGTTGACACAATGGATCAACCATAACAAGGTGTCTTACTTTTCTCCTGGCTGAGACAAAACACACCCACAAGTACAAGGAACAAAGGTTTATTTCAACTCACAGTTTGTAGGTTTCAGTCCATAGTCAGCTGGCTCCAAGGCAGAAGTGGAAGAGGAGAAACAGGCCACGGCAGAGGAGGCAGGAAGCAAGAGCGGCAAGCTTCCTTTTCCCTTTCATTCCATTCAGGCTACCAACGGTTAGGGCCACCCACTCCCAGGGTGGGGCTTGTCTTCAGTAAATCCATTCAATTACATCCAGAACGATGCTAAACCAATTAGTGGACTGATCCAGTACCACACATCCATGATCCAGTCACCTCACAGAAGCCGCACCTATGAGCTTTTAGGGGACATCTAGACATAAGCCACAACGGGTTACTACCAGCTCCTTTTTCAGGTTGGGGCAGGCCCTGCTTAGTAAAACCAAAATATTGCATAGACTGTTTATTATTCCAATTTCATTTTTTTACTGTTTTGAGACAGGGTTTTGCTATATAATATTACCACAGTCCAGGCCAGTCTTGAGTTCACTATAAGTAGGTCAGGCTGACTTTGAATTCATGATCTTCATGCCTCAGCCTTACATTCTTGATTTTATCTTAGAAGACAGGTAATTTTTGTTTGTTTGTTTTTTGAGACAGGGTCTCGCTTTGTAATTCAGGCTGGCCTTGAGCTCACTTTGTGGCCCAGGCTGTCCTCAAACTCACAATCCTCCTGCCTCAGCTTTCCAAGTGCTGGGATTATAGGCATGCACCACCACATCTGGCAAGAAGACAGATTTTCTTTTTTGACAGATAGATTTTTTTAATTGGCTTTTGCTTTTTTAAATAAAAATGTCAATCCACTTATTTATTTCATCAAATTATTGACTCAAGTATATTATAAAAAATAAAGTTTTTAGCAAGAGTAAGTAGCTAGAATTTTAATATGACCAGTAATGAATTAATAATCCTGGAGGGGGTTGTAAATCACAGACAAATTCAAGCATTAATCTGTTTACATTTTTATACTTTATTCCTTGTATCAATAGGTTAAGAACATAAAATTTTCCCAATACTGATTTATAGATAATGTTTTTATAAGTGGCAACAAGAAGTTCAGTTTCAAAAAATAACATTCAGTGATCTCTTTAAATGTAATTTTAAACCAGGCAGGGTGGCACATTCCTGTAATCCCAGCACTCAGGAGGCTGAGACAGGGCTACAAAGGGAGCTTCAGGCCAGCCTGAACTGCACAGTGAGACCCTGTCTCAAATAGACAAAAAAAGACCAAAAAAAAAGAAAAAAAGTAATTTTAATCCTTATTTTAAGCTAAGGGCAATAATAACTTAATGCAGTAAACTAAGTACATATTAAAACCTGTATATTCTGAACTACACAAAGGGGTTTCGCTAGTCACATATGGTCTTAATCAAGTATACATTTCCATAATGAACAAGCACTTCCAAACATGTTAATATAACACTACTCCAAATGCTTATCTTTGCCATCAGCTATTGAAACATCACCATTCCTACCACTGAAAGCATTTGGCTGGGCGTGGTGGCACATGCCTGTAATCCCAGCACTCGGGAGGCTGAGGCAGGAGGATCGTTGCGAGTTCAAGACCAGCCTGAACTGCATAGCGAGACCCTGTCTCAAAAAAAAAAAAAAAAAAAAAAAGACAAAACAACAACAAAAAAAAAACAAAAAAAAAAACATTTAGTTTTAGAATCTTTGATCTGGGAAAATGCGTTTCCCTAAAACTTAACAAATATCTGTAGTATGATATAAGCCAAAAAGTTTCAATCAAAAAAAGCTCTAACACATAAGCACTGACATGAAACTTGTTTCTCAAAAACAAAAAAGTTACCTTTAGAAAAGAGAGTAAAACATTTTAAGACAGATAAACATTCTTACAAAAACTTAGTTTCCTATATCCTCTCTTTAAAAGAAACACAAAGTAATTCACTACCTTTGATAACCTCTAAGACAATTATTGTCTAAAATCTTCAGAATACATGAAGCACATGCCTTAGCTGTCATACTCAAAGAGGCCACTGAGATTTTACATATGAAACACCTAGAATACAGCTTATAATGGCATGAATATATCTAATATATAAATACAAGTTTATTCTTCAGATGTCAAAGTCAGAAGAGACTGCATGGTTTGCAAAGTAGTTTAACTTAAATGGAGTCATTAATAGTAAGTAATTCAAGGAGGGTCATATAAAGGCAGGCAATTAAAGACTCAAATCAAATGCTCCCAAAACAAAGATGTGAAAATGAAGGCTGAAAACTTTGCTTCTTCCTCTCACAAACATGCCTAAACGTCAGGACATTACTGTAGAAAATAAACTTAGGTATGGTTTCCAGAGAAGATAGTGAAATTTCCGAAAGTACAAAAGGTGTCAAGACCCATAGTTTGCTTCATCAAATGCTTTTCTAGCGCGTTTCAATTCTTCATTCATAGTAAGCAAGTCTTTAACCCTAGCAAACTTCCTTGGGTCCTTTCGAATCAAGAAGACGATATCTTCAACTTGTACTCGACCTTGTCTTCCAATGGACATTGCCTTGTGAGTCTATTACAAAGAAACATTAAAGTCAATGTTTTAAATTTTTATTAGTAAATGTTAGCAGTACATAATGATTATATTCATTATGAGGAGTTGGTACACATACATGACACAATGCTTTTTATATCCTCTTGCCCTCCCCTTTTTTCCCCTCAGTCCATCTGTTTACATTAAATTTTTAAAAATCAGGGGTGTTTTCTCTGTGTTTTTGAGACAGGGTCTCGCTATGCAATTCCAGCTGGCCTTCAGCTCACTTTGTAGCCCAGGCTGGCCTCGAAGTCACAATGATCCTCTTGCCTCAGCCTTCAAGTGCTGTGATTACAGGCATGTGCCACCACACCTGGCTAAAAATCAGTATTTCATTGCTTTAATTTATATTTATTAATTACCGGTGAGGCTTAAGAGTCTCTCTTCTAATTATTATAGCTAGTCATTTGTAAACTATCCATGTACTTTGTCCATTATCTACTAATTAGAAATGTTTTTCTTTTTGCTTCATAGGTTTTTTTTAATACAAAGGACATTAGATTATCAACTTTACCAATATTCTCCTTTTTGTTTTTTGTTATTTTTTTTTATATTGAGACAGGATCTTGCTATATAGTTCTGGCAGGCCTTGAACTCACTATGTAGTCCAGGCTGGGCTGGAACTTGCAACCTTTCTGCCTCAGCCTCCCAAGTGCTAGGATTATAGACATGTACTATCATGTGTGGTTATTTTTAATTGCTTGGTTTTCGTTGGAAGGGGCACTTGGATATAAATGTGTACACCTCTAAGTAAATATTGGAAGAAGAAGGAAAAAACTTAATTTGGATAATGAGATTATGGGCAGTATTATTAATGTAGTTCAAGGATCTTACAATTCTGTCTTTTAAATAAAATTCAGGGGCTGGGGATTTAGCTCAGCGGCAAAAGCGCCTGCCTGGCATGCGCAAGGTCGTGAGTTCGGTTCCCGTACCGGAGAAAAACCAAAAAAAAATAAAATAATAAAATAAAATTCAGGAGAGGGTGGAATGTATTTACATAATCTCTGTCCCTAATGATAAATAGTAACTAGTAATTGTCATAAAATAGGCACACAAATGGATAGTTTATTTCAAAAGGATGCTGTTTTAGTCTTATCTAAAGCTTAGAATTTTAAACCTATTTTTTTTTTTTTCGTCTTTTTGAGACAGGGTCTCACTATGCAGTTCAGGCTGGTCTTGAACTCACTTTATAGCCCAGGCTGGCCTCAAACTTGCAACTATCCTCCTGCCTCACCCTCCCGAGTGCCAGGATTACAGGCAAGCACCATCACGCCCGGCTTTAAACCTATTCTTCAGTTACAACTGAAGTCTAAAACCAGTTAAAGACAAACCCTCCAAAAAATAATAGCGCTTACAAAAGACTCTTACCATTTCAGTGATGAACTCTATGACGAGGTCTTCAAGAATATCCACTGACTCAGTGTACGGGTTCTGGTCATCTCCAAACCCATACATCATACATCGTACTGTGAAAGAACAATCATTTTTATTTATGTGAACAGATGTAACAATTTCACCAACACTGTTTTCACCTCAACTAGCATGGAGCCAAGTAACAGACAATACTGGTTTAAAAACATATTTACCAAAAAAACCCACATATTTACATTGTCTTTTTTTGTCTCCAAGTATGAACTATGTTATAAAAAGTTTAACAACAACCCATGACCAGTCTTATCAACTACCTTCCAACAAACCTCTCCTTTCTTCCCAGGTACTGAATCCTAACATGAATGTTCTTTTCCTAATCTCTAGCATCCATTTATCAGCAACCCCCGGAATCTTAAGAGGAGACTATGACAGGGACAAGGGTAGCGGTGCTTAGCATTTTCTGGGAGTTTTCTGTGTAGAGGTGAGACAGTGGGGCATGGAAAATGGGAGGCAGAAGAATATTTGATATGACTACAGCTGAAAGGACATGAGAGAAAGTGCTCCAATTACCCTCTATGGGAACAAATAGGGTCATTGAAAGGAGAAAGCAGAGGGCTTACTACAAGGAATCTTGACGTTTCAAATACAACTGCCGCGGTGGAGCACGCCTGTAATCCTAGCACTCGGGAGGCTGAGGCAAGAGGATCACTGCAAGTTCGAGGCCAGCCTGGGCTACAAAGTGAGCTCAAGGCCAGCCTGAACTGCATAGCAAGACCCTGTCTCAAAAAGACAAACAACAAAAAAACAGGGCTGGGGATATAGCTCAGTGGCACAACACCCACCGGGCAAGCGTGAGGTCGTGAGTTCAACTCCCAGTACTGCAAGCAAACAAACAAAAAACAAAAAAACAAATGCAACTGCCAGCAAACCCCATTTCTGGTTTCATATGAAGGAAGCACAGAATATGCAAAAAAAAAAAAAAGGAAAGTCTAATGCAGTGATAACAATAACTGCTAATAACTTACATAGCCTTTAAATGCCAAATATTGTTTTAAGCCTCACAAAAAAACTTTCCAGCAGATACTATTATGATTCCCATGCTGCAGGTAAGGAATACTGAGCCACTGAGTTAACTGATTTACCCAAGGTCATACAGCTAGTAAGAAATGGAGCCTATTTGAATCCACCCAATTTGATTCTAGACAGCCTTCACTCTGACCCACCACAGCAGTAGTTTAGGACAGATGGGATCCATATGGATTCTTAACTTATAGTCAATACATCCAAATTAGTCCACAGACTAGCTTTAAAAAGGTTCTAAATTTCACTTGAGAGTACATATATAGGAAAATTTTACATATTATCTGTATGTATGCATTTTTCTGGGGAGAATTATAACATGAAATTCTAAAGTATGTATGTGCTATCAAATGCTAGACATTTTGTGTATCTATCTGAGAGATTATAAATAAATAAATATGTGTGTGTGTGTCTGTGTATATTCCCCCCCCCATCAAGCTGTTTCCTTAAGACTTGAACTTCCCCCTACCCCCAGAGCTGGGGACTGAACCCAGCACATCACACTAAACTACATTCCTAACCTGTTTTTTAAAAATTTTGAGTGGGCTGGGGATTTAGCTCAGTGGTGCAGCACCTGTGTGGCAAGCATGAGGTCCTGAGTTCAATTCCTGGTACCAAAAAATTAAATAAGTAAATAAAATTTTGAGATAGGGATTCAGCAAGGTGCTAAATTGCCCTTGGTGGGCTCAGACTTACAATTCTCCTGCCTCCATCTCCCAGGGTGCTAGGATTACAAATGTGTGGCACTACACTCAGCTTTGTACAACTTACTATCTGTAAGTTTTACACCTTTTAAAGAAGGAACAAACTGGACACATGCCTGTATCCCAGCATTTGGAAGGCTAAGGCAGGAAGACTGCCATGAGTTCAAGGCCAGCCAGGACTACATAGGGAGACCCTATCTCAAAAAAGCAAAAACAGATAAACAAACAAAAAAAAATGAGCTATAGATATAGCTCAGTGTGGAGGCCCTGGGTTAAATCCTAAGAGGAAAGGAAGAAAGGAAGGAAGGATGGACAGACAGGCAGAAAGAAAGAAAAAAGAAATCTAAGAATACTTCTAAAGAGATGGAGGGAAGAATGAAAGTATAAAAAGAATTAAGATGTTTTTTCCTTCTTTTATTTTTTTAAATAAAAAAATAAAGGGGCTAGGGATTTAGCTCAGTGGCACAGCGCCTGCCTGGCAAGTGCGAAGTTGTGAGTTCAATTCCCGGTACCAGAAATAAATAAATAAATAAATACAAATAAATTAAAAAAAGAATTAAGATGTGTCATGTACTATATAAGTACCAACTACCCACAATGAATGTGTTCATTATGTAATGCAAACATGTACTAATAAGAAAGAGAGAGAGGGAGGGAGAGAAGGAGGGAAAGGAAAAGAGAGAAAAAGGGAGGGAAGGAAGGAAAGGAGGAAGGTACAAAAAGACTGATTCTTATTTAGGAGAAGCAAAAACTGGTAGAAATAAAAAAAGAAAGAAGACCAAGCTGAGAGAAGAAATGAAAGGAGTAACCAGAAAGTCAGACCAGTATATAAGTATCCCTAAGTTTTACAATGAGAAGAGCCTTTGGTTCCAAATATAGGAAGAAGAAAACAACTGCAGGAGAAAACATTTTTTTCCTTGCTTTTGGATTCTGTAATTTTGTTTGCATTAGAAAAAGAAATTCCAGGTTCCTATCAAAGACTCCACTCTACTTAGTTGTCATAGTGCCTTGGTTTTCTTCATCCAATCTGTGACAACAATCTGTGACAATACCTCATCTTTTCCCTGTCTTTCAAGACTTTGAGGGCTGGAGATACAGCTCAGTGGCACAAACACCTGCCTGGCAGGCACAAGGTCCTGAGTTTGATTCCTGGTACCAAAAAAACAACAGCAACCAAAAGAAAATCAAGACTTTGATTTCTTTTTTCTCTTTTTCTTTTTTGACTTTTTGAGACAGAGTTTCATTATGCAGTTCAGGCTGGCCTTGAACTCACTTTGTAGCCCAGACTGGCCTCAAACTCACAGTGATCCTCCTGCCTCAGCCTCCCAAGTGCTTGGATTACAGGTATGCACCACCATACCCGGCAAGACTTTGATACTTTTGAAAAACACTGGTCATTTTGTGATTATCCCTCAATTTGAGTTTCTTCGATGTTTTCCCATGCTCAGACTGAGGTCACACATTATTAGAAAGGACACAGAGATGACATACCCTCACATCAGGATACTTGAGGTCAACATATGTAACTGCTGATGCTAACTTTGATCACTTAGCTAAAGTGATGTCTATCAAGATTTCCCTGGCTGGGGATTTAGCTCAGCAGCACAGCGCCTGCCTGTCAAGTGCAACATTGTGAGTTCGATTCCCAGTACGGGAAAAAAAAAACAACAACAAAAAAGATTTCCCACCATAAATTTACTATTACTTCCTTTTAAATTTTTTTTTTTTTTTTTTTTGGTCTTTTTGAGACAGGGTCTCACTATGCAGTTCAGGCTGGTCTTGAGCTCACTTTGTGGCCCAGGCTGGTCTTGAGCTCACTTTGTAGCCCAGGCTGGTCTTGAACTTGCAATGATCCCCCTGCCTCAGGCTCCCAAGTGCTGGGATTACAGGCATGCGCCACCACGCCCGGCCTTCCTTTTAAATTGTCAGGAAAGTAAGTCACTAATTAGGAAAATGTGTCTTACTGGATAAGGAAAACTTATGCTTTATAGGAAAACTGTAAATTGTTTTGGTTAAATGGTCTGAAAAGGGGTAAACAAATGCCACCGAATGCTTTGAAATTCTGTGTTATATATATATTTTTTTTCACTGTGACTGTCATTTAATTAAAAACATGCTTAACAAGGCTGTGTTATATTAACAAAAAAATTTAAAAGAAGGTTTAGGAGAACAGATCCTGGTCAGTAAAATATATGAAAGTTCTGGTAAGACAAGGAGAAAGCAGTGAACATTCCAAATTCCTCTCATCACAAACAGACAGTAATCTAAGTGGAGTAAAGCATCACAATAATGCAAGTATGATTCTATGATGTTCTGGTGCAGGGATCCCTTCATACGTTGACATAATAGGTAAAGCACATACAAATCAAATAATTAGTATCAGAGAGATGGAATAAAGAGTGGTCAGCTTTAAGAGAGAAATTATGGGGAGGATTTGGGTGGTCTAAAAAAAAATATGCTAATCCTGCCGTTTTAAAGCATTTAAGAACTGCTCATGTCTTACCCAGCCTAAGTAAACTACACACATATTCAGAAATTGGTGTTGCTGTATCTCTCAGTACTCAGCCATAACTATATGTGAAGGACCAGGGATTTAAAGATGCACAGCACATTCTCATGATGCCTTCAGAGGCTGACCAGACCAGCAGCAGCAGCACCAGCAGCACCAGCACCACTCCCTTTCTTTTTTTTTTTTTTCACTCCCTTTCTTCTATAGCCAAAGAGTGAGACCTGTCCACTGAAGCAAAGACGAATACATTACTGTCTCCAGAAATTGCTAATCACTCACGCTCTTCACCATCTTCCTGTTCACTGCATTAATCGTAAGCCCCAATTTAGTTGCTTTCCTCAGGATTTGTTCCAAGATCCATTACTACATGCAATTTACAATCAAAGGAGTCCCTGTATCTACTCTGCAAAGGTAAGGCACATGAAAACTAACAGAGGTATGTTCTGCCCCGAATTAAAATATTAGCCATGTTTTATTATTTTACATAATTAGGGTTAGGGTAGGATGGTTACTAGGTATGATTCAAAAGTTAAACAGACTTTTATAGGTAAGTATGACAATATTGTCACTACAGACAATAAATTTACTCTGAAAGAATATAACCAAAATCTTGCACCACCTATAATGAAATCATTGTCAAATACAACTTACATTCTTTAGAAAAAAGTCTCTTTCTTTTACCCTGTCCACCTTCAGCGCCTCCTCCAATTTCTTCGTTTTCCTCTTCAAACTAAAAATTAAAATATACACATAGAAATGTCAAGCGATTGTATGCACTTGGCATTTTAATAAGTAACTTTTTTTTTCATTTTCAACACTGATATCGGGGTAAAAAGCCTAAAGCAAGGAGCAAAAAAATTATGAAATCAACACTGACGGGGTCTTCAAGAACCTAATCCAATTTCCAAGTCAGGCAGCGTTTCTTTTTTCGTTTGCGATGGTTTCTCTATGTAGTCCAGCTTGGCATCAAACAGGAGATCCTCCTGCCTTCAACTGGAGGACTAGAGGGCTGGGGATATAGCTCAGCAGCACAGCGCCTGCCCAGCAAGCTCGAGGTTGTGAGTTCGATTCCTGGTACCAAAAAACAAAAAACCCCACCTGGAGAGCTAGGATCATAGGTATAGGACACGATGACAGGCTGTGTTGCTGTTTTAAACCATCTAGGCTGTCCCATTGCTGGACAGTATTACCGTTAAAGATCTGATATTGAACCAGTCTACTCCTTGCAGTAAGTAAAATTCATATTTACTAAGGACTTGTTTATCCAGTGCGAAAAACTTACGTTGAATAAGCCTTGACCCTATTTTATGACAAGAAAACTGATGCGGCCGGGCGTGGTGGCGCATGCCTGTAATCCCAGCACTAAGGAGGCTGAGGCAGGAGGATCGTTGTGAGTTCGAGACCAGCCTGGGCTACAAAGTGAGCTCAAGGCCAGCCTGAACTGCACCTCGAGACCTTGTCTCAAAAAGACAGACAAAAAAAAAAAAAAAAAGAAAAAAAAAAAAACCCCAAAAAAAAAAAAAAAAAAAAAAAAAAAAAAAAAAGAAAGAAAAAAAAACCCACAAAAAAAAAAAAAGAAAAAAAAAGAAGAAAACTGATGCTCAGGGGCTGGGGATATAGCTCAGTGTCGTAAGCGCCTGCCTGGCAAGTACGAGGTTGTGAGTTCCATCCCCGGTGCCGCAAAAAAAAAAAAAAAAAAGAAAAGAAAAAAGAAAAAACTATGCTCAAAGTTAAACAACTTGCTCAGAAAGAACCAAGAATTTCAATTCCGAGATGACTGACTTCCAGTCCATTAGCAAATACTACGGCCAGTGATGACTCTCTAGGTGTTTCCGAGGGTGTCTGGCAAATCTATACCAAACCCAAAGACAAAGGAGCCACTTCTCCACTCTCCCTTGACGAACTGCCCCACGTACTATTGGATAAATCATTTATCACAGTGAAAGCAAACAGGTACATCCTCGAACTCTCTTGGTTGAACTCACTATGGGAAACAGATTCGATTCTCAATTCTGTCCCCGCTACTAAGCCTGAGGGAGTGATGAAAACAGATGGGACACAAGTGGTCACTCACGGTAGGATCCTCTTCCTCATCTGCCATCCCACCAGCCCTCAAAGCTATAGCGCCAGACCAACTCGCTGCTAGTTGATTTTACTACTTCCTTTGCGTCACTTCCTGTGACGTTCGGAGGGGCGGGGACAGAACCGGCCGACGCCTGCGCAAACGGAGTGCGTTCTTTGTTTCTGAGCGGCTGAACCCCAACAGTCCTTGGAGGAGGAGGGGAGCGGAGAGCTCTTCTCTCTGTATCCCAAAGAAGGGATTAAAAGTTACAAAGAATAACACGCCAGGGGCCAAGCGGCATGTATCTCGTTCTCATGCTAACGGTAGCCCTAGACTGACAAGATCTAAAATTTTGTTAGGAAGGTAGGTTGGGTTGGAACATCATCAGTAGAAAATCGTGGATGTTAGAAGTCGAGGTAGCCGGGCGTGGTGGCGCACGCCTGTAATCCCAGCAGTGGAGAGGCTGAGGCAGGAAGATTGTTGTGAGTTCGAGGCCAGCCTAGGCTACAAAGTGAGCTCAATGCTAGCCTGAACTGCACGGGAAGACCCTGTCGCAAAAAGCAAGGAAGTCCAGAGGTAGCCAGTAAATGTTCTTCGGCGTAAGAGGCGAAGGCTGGTCCAGTGGCGCACCGCTGTGATCCCAGCGCTCTGCAGCCTAAAGCTGGAGGATCGCAGATTTGAGCCCAGCCTGGGCAATTTCGAGATCTCGGCAAGATCCTGTCTCAAACACACAAAGGGTTGAGGATGTAGCTCAGTGTGAAGGCCCTGCTTTCAATCCCATTTAGAAAGGGGGGAGGTGATGCCTCACAACAAAAAACTATTTCTGAATGTCTTCCCGGACATGTTAACGTTTAAACACAGCTTTCCCTCGCGTTTTAAATGTATATTCAGGGGCTGGGGATTTAGCTCAGCGGCAAAAGCGCCTGCCTGGCAAGCGCAAGGTCGTGAGTTCGGTTCCCGGTACCGGAGAAAAACCAAAAAAAAAAAATGTATATTCAGCCGGATGTAGCGGCACACGCCTGTAATCCCAGCATTCAGGAGGATCTTTGCGAGTTCCAGGCCAGCCTGGGCTACAAAGTGCGCTCAAGGGCACCCTGAACTGCACAGTGAGACCCTGTCTCAAAAAGACAAAATAAATAAATAAAATAAATGTATATTCATTAACTTTTCCTAGGATGTTACTACTCCAAAATTGTTAGTATGTTGGACTTTGTTTTGTTTGAATTTTGCGGCGAGTTTTGGACCATTTTAAGAAAAAGGTCTGGCTGGGAATTTAGCTCAGCGGCACAGGGCCTGCCTGGCAAGCACAACGTCGTGAGTTCGATTCCCGGTACCGGGAGAAAAAAAAAAGAAAATAGAAAAAAGTCACCACGGGTAACATTATTTGTGATACTTTAAATAGTCAAAATACATCCAAATCAGTCTGCATTTGTAGCTCTTGGTTTAAGATGATTCTACATGTAGTTACAAGAATCTAAAATCATCCTACCCCTTCGGGTAGTCATACCTGAGCATTTACATATCACACATATTATAAAACGTTGTCTTCCTTTTTTTTTTTTGCAGTAGTAGTGCTTCTGGCAATGGAACTCAGGATCTCAAACAGGCATTCTACTGCTGAGCTATATCCCCAGCCTCTCCCCATTGTCTTCATTTTACCTTTATATACTGGCTAAGACATGCTTTTTACAAATATTGTAGGCATATTGTTTATTGCTGAGTGACTTAGTGATAAACATTTTGCATGGCATGGTGGCACAGGTTTGTAATTCCAAGTACTCAGGAGACTAAGGGAGGAGAATCACAAATTTTAAACCAGCCTGGACAATTTAGTAAAACCCTGTTTTACAGGGAAGTAACTCCCAATCTGTTAGACATGCTGGGTTTATGTCTTAGGATGCTGAAAATGGAGCCTAAAGACAAAGAAGGTTAAGAGTAGGAAAAGTTTTATTAAACAGAAAACTCCGAGAGGTTGTCACTGAGTCTCTTTGTCTGGGTGGGTTTTAAAAATTATTTATTTATTTATTTTTGTGTTTTGAGACAAGGCCTCGCTTGGTAGTTCAGACTGGTCTTAAACTTACTATGTACCTCGGGCTGGCCTGGAACTCACAGCAATCCTCCTGCCTCAGCCTCCCAAGTGATGTGATTACAGTTGTGTGCCACCATGCCTGGCTTCTAGGGGGTTTTTATTACAGTAAAATCACATTGCAAGTTGTCTCGAGTCAAACTACAGTTAACCAATAGGATTACAAGTACGGTTACTTAGCTAATACTGATTTAATAGAAAAGCAAGGAACTTACCAACAGTGCACAGCATGGAGAAGAAAGAACAAAGGCATTTCCGGAAGGGGTACAGTGAGTGCCAGCATGTTCTGGTCATCTGTTACGTGTTTATTACGTTGTTTCTATGTGTTTGATATTATTCAAGCTTATTGGCCCAGATGGTGCTAGTTACGAGTACAGCTTTGAGCTGCTGCTCCTCTCCAGGGACGCTTGCAGACCACTAAACTCTTTGCCGTGGAGCCCAGTTTCTATCAGCCCAGCTCTTGACGACAGGCCTGATTTGCCTCATCTCTGTTCTGACTCTGGGCTGAGTCCTTTTGTAACTACCTATCAATCTCTACCTAATTTAGCTATCTGTAATATAGTACTATCACAGAATTTAAAAAAGGGATGGGCATGTGGCTTACAGGCAGAGTCCTTGCCTAGAATGTACAGGTCCTTGAGTTCAATCCCCATTAAAAAAAAAAAAAAATTGTTTTATCACACAGTTTTTGTGGGCTGCAAGTTGAGTGCAGTATAACTGGGTACTTCTGGCACCCAGCAGATCCCTCGTGCTGCAGGCAGGAAGTTGGCCTGGGCTGCAGTCATATAAGAAGCCAGGATTGCTTGTGTTTGCCAGCAAGATTCAGCTTCTGTAGGTTGCCCAGAGGCCTCCTTCAATTCCTCGCCGTATAGTCCTTTCCAAAGGGCAGCTAAACATGGGAGGTAGCTCCCTTCAGAGCAGACAAGCTAGAGAGCCCAAAACAACACCTGGAAGACAGATGCCACAGTGGTTTGGGAACCTAATTTTAGAAGCGGCACCTCACCATGTCTGCCCCGTTCTGTTCCATAGAAGTAAGTCAATAAGTGTGGCGTACACTCAAGAGGGAATTACACAAGGACAAAAATATCAAAAGAAAAAAATATATTCCCAGTACTGGAAAAAAAAAAAAGAAAGGGCCACTTAGAATCATGTGCCATGAAGTGTGGATAATTCAACCCTCTAAACCTGATATCCAGAATCTGAAGTGGGAAAAGAAATCAGTGTTTCGGCAGAGCAGAAATGGAGCACAGAGACTAAAAAGTCAGTGTGAGCTTCTAAGATGTCAGAGGGGGTTACCAGAACCGAGTTTCTCCCAGGAGGGGGCAGGAAGTGACGCTGGAATGAAGCCAAATAGAAGTGAAAGACTTTGAAGTTCTCTTTGAAGACTTAGCTTCACACCGCAGAAATTCTAGGGCAATCTTAAGAATCAATAAACTTCTTGGATTTTTTTCAATGTGCAGGGAATTTGTTTTATATACAAATCAGAAAAATTTTGTTTTTTATTAGTACATGTTTGCAGTACATAATTATTGCACTTGTCATGGGGAGCTAGTACATGTTTATAACACATCTTAACTCACTGGACTTCTCTTTAAATAAAAAATCACTATAGTAGGTATACAACCTAAAGTGAAAGATGATTATAATCTGATCCAGGGTAAAGGAAAAAAAGGAGGAATTGATTTAAAAGAACGTTATTAAAAAGATTTAGTGGAACGCTATTACTGTAATAAAAACAGGGAAGAAAAAAGGAAAAGCAATTAGAGATGGAAATATATGTGTTTGGACTGAATTTAAGAGTCTAGATCTCTAGACTTCATGGAGGTACAGACCTGGAATTCACAGAGAAACTAGGACTAGAGAAAATTAAATGGAAGACATTGACAACAAAGTGGTAAGTTAAAGACTGCAGGGAAGGGCTGGGGATTTAGCTCAGTGGCACAGCGCCTGCCTGGCAAGCGCAAGGTCATGAGTTCGATTCCAGGTACCAGAGGAAAAAAAAAAGACTGCACGGAAACAAAGGCAAGAGACGGACAGCAAAGGGAAGATCCTTAGAAGCAGTACACCAAGGAGTCAGAAAAGACAGAAGGAGTGGTATAAGTGGTAGGAAAAGATGAAGGAGAAAGAGGGAAAAAAAGTACTTTGAAAGGCAAAAAAACGAAAAGAAAAAGTTTCAAGAAAGAAGCAGGCAGTCAAGAGTGCCCAGGACCACAGAGATTAAGAGATTGAGGGGGGCTAGGGAAATAGCTCAGCCGCACAGCACTTGCCTGGCAAGCTCAGAGTCATGAGTTCAATTCCCCGTACCCCCTCCCAAAAGAGAGAGGCTGAGGGATTTAGCCACTGTTGGTGACACATGCCTTAATTCCAGAAAACTGGGAGTCTGAGACAGGGGGATCAAAAGTTTTGAGTCCAGTGTGGGCAATTTAAGGATTTAGCAAGACCCTGTCTCACAATTTGTAAAAAGAGCTGTAGAAGTAGCTCCGTACAAAGGCCTTTGGTTTAATCCTCAGTCCTGGAGCAGGAGGGGGAGAAGAAGTGAGGAAGGGAGGAGGGATTGAAAGACTGGAAGATTTAAACCAGGCGTGATGGTCCTGCCTATACCCTAGGACTCTGGGAGGTTGAGGCAAGAGTTTGAGGCCAGGCTGGACTATGCAGTGAGTTCAAAGTCAGCTTGACCTATATGATAAGACCTTGTTTCAAAAAAACAAAGAAAAGAGCAAGATTGAAAGAGTTAAGAAAAGGTTTTGGATTTGACAAGAGGTAAGAGAATAATCTCAAGAAATAGTTCGAATAATTTGAGGGAAGTGGGGAAGATGGGAGTGTGTGCAGAGTGTATACACTGAGTGTGTACTCTGAATGAGTGCTGGAGTGTTTCTATTGAAAAGTACAAAAACAAAGAGGAAAAAGTAGCCTTAAGAGGGCAGTAGGATCCAGGAAAGGGGCCTTTGAATAAGTGATTATTGAATGCATGAAGCTGTGAACTTGTGCCAGACGCTTAGCTAACTGCTTAGGAAA